TTTAAAAAAAAAAAAAAAAAAAAAAAAAAAAAAAAAAAAGATTTTTGTCCATAGAAAAATTCTTGGAAAAAAAAAAGTGAAAAAAAGAGAGATTTTGATTCAATTCGTCGAAGGAAAGAAGAATACGAGGGATCAACGCGGCGTCTAATCTGGTTCTGACTCGTCTTCATCAACTTCGCTTCTATTTCCATCGATTTCAGATCAGAAAGTGGAAGCTTCATCGTCGTTGAACCCACCTTCAAGGCAATGCCTCTTTCTTTTTTACTACTTTTATAAATCTATAAACATGTGGTTTGAATGTTCTTCATATAGCTGTTGAAATTCCATTAAATTATATACTTATCTTCCCCTATTTAAAGCGATTCGGTCTCCTTTAGCCTGACCTGCGCTTCATCTCTTGTGTAATCGAGCTTCAGAACATGTATGGATTCCTTTTTTAATCCGTTTTCTTGTTGTTATTGTGCGTTCTTAAGCCGATTCTATGTGGGGTCTTCTTATATTTTAATGTATTCTCTCTTGGTTTCTGTGCCGATAAAATTGGGATTTGGAGATACGGATTTGTTTGGATTGAAATTATTGCATAATCATGTGGACTTATTAAGGGCTCCACGTTTGTCGTTCTTGCAGTTGTGACTAACACTCAGCCGAGGCATGTCTTGTTCATCATCGATTTCAATGGAAATTGCAGACAAAGAGACTTCTCAGGATAATGTTGAACAGGTTGAATTGTTGAGTGGAGTTTATGATCATTATGATGGAGTCATTGTAGAAATGAAGGAAGCTATGGATCCAAAGGAGTTTGGCTCCTTGCTTAGAGCTTCACTATCTCAATGGAAACAGCTGGTATTTGATTTCTGTCATGTTTTAGGTTGAACATGGTTCTTTATGTTCTTCAAATCCCATTTATGGTTTCTATTTGCATTTTGATTTGCAGGGTAAGAGAGGCATTTGGATCAAATTACCTATTGAACTTGCAAATCTTATTGAAGTTGTTGTTAAGGTACATTTTGTTCATACAAATCCGTAAAAGACACTTGTTCTTGAAGCATATGCCATTTACAAAGTGTTCATAGTATGATAAATGCAGCTATGTTGATGCACTTTCTGCTAAGATTAAAATTGAACCATGTGAAGAATTCTGATAATCACAAATCCATATTTGGTGTTTTGTTAAGAATACGATAAGCCAGGTTTACTATTTTGTGGCTATATCAAGTTTAAGTACGTCGTTATGTGGTCGTAAGATTCGTTGCAAGTTAGTCGAGATATCTAAGACAAAAAGGAAACAAGTACTCTATTTATGAGTTTTCAATCATTTGAATCATATGGTATTTGGTCAATCTATTGTAGAATGGTTAGCCGAAAGTTAAAATGTTCAAGTCTTTTTGTCTCTGCTTGATTTTCAGGAAGGATTCGACTTCCACCATGCCGAATGCAATTATCTAATGCTTGTACGATGGATCGCTGAAACTACTAACAGTCTTCCTGCTAATGCCTCGCATCGTGTGGGCATCGGTGCATTTGTGATGAATAGTAATCGAGAGGTACTTTCCAAACTTGTCGATTTGAAAAACAATACTATGTTCTTAGGAATAATGAATACAAGAAGCACAAGGTCTCTAATGTAATGGCCCAAGCCTACTCTTAGTAGATATTATCCTGTTTGGGCTTTCTCTCAAGGTCCTGGAAACGAGTCTACTAGGGAGTGGTTTCCACACACTTATAAAGAAATGTTTCGTTCTCCTTCTCAACTGATGTGGGATCTCACAATCCACCCCCTTCGGGGACAGTGTCTTTGTTGGCACTCCCTTCCCCAATCGATGTGGGACCCCTAATTTCACCCCCTTTCGGGGCCCAACGTCCTTGCTGACACACCATCCCGTGTCCACTCCCCTTCGAGGCTCAGCCTCCTCGCTATCACATCGCCCGATGTCTAGCTCTGATACCATTTGTAATGACCCAAGTTCATCGTTAGTAGATATCGTCCTCTTTGGGCTTTCCCTTTCGGGCTTCCTCTCAAGGTTTTTAAAACGCGTCTATTTGGGAGAGGTTTTCACATCCTTATAAAGAATGTCTCATTTTCCTTGATATGGGATCTCAGAAAGTGTTGTTACATCTAATAAGCCAAACTATTAATCAGAATTTAGTGTCTATTTGAAAGGTTTTACTTGGAAGAGCTCTTGTTTTCTTCTAGTAGCTAACATTAATACTCTAATTCTGAAGCTGCTTGTGGTTCAAGAGCTCAGTGGCATATTCAGAGGCTCAGGAGTTTGGAAGTTACCAACTGGAGTGGTTAATGAGGTGAACAAACTTCAATTTGCTGCAAGTTTCTCAGTTCAATAAGCCTTCTTATCCTTTAATGTTCTTATCCTTTCTGTAGGGAGAGGATATTTGTGAAGCAGCCATTAGAGAATTAAAAGAAGAGACTGGTGTAAGTAACAACAAGCAAGCAGTTCTATATATATATTTTAAAAAATCAAATGTTTATCAGTTTCATTTGAATTCCTTTCAGGTTGATGCCGAATTTGTAGAAGTGTTAGCGTTCAGGTTTGAACTCTCTACCCGTTGCGCTCGGGTTACGTTCTTCAATAGTTCCTTCACATTTTACACCAAAAGAGAAGAGTTCTCTTCCTTACCATATGCTCCTTTCTTGGGCAATGCAGGCAAAGCCACGCTTCGTATTTTACGAAATCGGATTTGTTTTTCGTGTGCATGTTACGACCGTGTTCCTTCGATATTCAAAAGCAAGCTTCAGAAATTGAGGCAGCCAAGGTATATATTTTAGTAGATAATGATTGATACTTGATGATCTGTGTTACTTTTTTTTTAGCAAAATTCTTCCTTGATCTAGCTATGGGAGCCCGAAAATCGGAATCCAATGTTCCCATGTCAATGATTGATCAATAATCTAAAAACTTTAGGACCCAGGAACATGATAGATACCCTTTGTCCAAACATGACCCAGGAACATGATACTAGCTCGTCTTCGTCTTCGACTTTTCGATATTCAAACATTTATTATACATCTAAACATTCCTTTTTACATTCTTAGAAAGATTGCCTGTTGATAATATTCTGATGTGGGTTATGGTGATAAAATTGTTCCCCTCAAAACAGTGGATGCCCATTGAAGAATATGCAGATCAACCCTTTGTAAAAGAAAACTCGGGTTTTGACTACGTCGCAAAAATATGTTTAGCAAGGGCAAACGACAGCTATACCGGGTTCTCAGCAAAACCCGCATATTCTGCCTCTGGGAAAAGGACTTACATCTACTCAAAACTCGAAATTTGAACTCACAATCTGTTAAGATTCAGTGTACAGATCATTCATTTGTGCATAGAACAAAATTTATTGACTACTGGTTAATAAGGGGAGGATTCAAACCTCTAACCTTCTAATCTTTTAGTCGAGATTATATATTTCATGTTATTTCTCTTCTTTTATGTTAAATTTCTCGAGAACTTTTAGTATCTGATTTCGTTAGAGCTAGGTTTAGATTGATGTTTGAAGTTTATTTGTTATCAATATTTGGAACTTTTTATACCGTTTCTATATTTATATTTTAAATGAATCCTCACTTACGTATAAATATTAGCTTAAATTATTATAAATATTTTAAAACATATTTATATTCTTTTAAAATTTATAATATTATTCCCATCTTTTTATAAATTTTTAATATGTAATGTTGGGACTTTGCGTCCACCGACACAATAATAAGATTCCATATATATATATTTTAAATTTATGTCCACATGGACATTTCTATCCATATATGAAAAATGAATAAAATTTGGAGAAAAAAAAAACAAATAATAATTATTCCAATTTAAATAAATTATTGTTCTTTGAAAATGAGGGGAAAATAAAGCCAAATCAAATACAAGATGCAACCCAATTGGATATTTAAAGTAACTGTACACCATCCAAAAAAAAAAAAAAGTAAAAAAAAAAAATAAAAACATCACCGACAAAAAAAGATAAATAAAAAATGGCCAAATACAAGTGGGATTTATTTTGTCTATGAATGACGAACCTCTAATATCGTGCCACGTTCCGCTTCCATCATAAGAGTTATACGAGCAAAACAGACAACCACAAACTCAATATCATTGCCACGATCGATCTCTGACCGTTCGATCCAAACGCCCCGTCTTTGTCTGATTTCTGATCCTCTGGCTCGCCGTCGGATTCGTCGGAGCCGATCGGCGAGTCGGCATCTTCCTCCTCCTCTCCGTCTGACGCCGTAGGCGATGGTGCCTTAGTCTTCTTCTTCTTCGCCGCTTTCGGTGCTGGAGCCTCGTCTTCCTCCTCCGGCACTGCCTTGAAAAGCTCCCGGGGCTGCAACACTTTGTCGAGTTCATACACTATCAGCGGCTCCGAATCGATCAGCGTCGCCGTTACCGTTGCCGTCACTACCTTCGTCTTCACCGTAACATCCTCGCCATCGGTCTTAATGTCGAAATCGTACTTAGCGCCACCGTCGGTAGCCAGCGTGTTGACAACACCGTTGTTCGATTTGAGCATCTGTAGCGATAAGTAAATCGGCATGCCGTGGTACAACAGCAGCGACACTTTATGCGCAGCCGTCAGATTCTTGTACTTCGGAAGAAAGGCATTGAGTGCGGCATCTGTGGGACAAAACACCGTCAATCCACCGTCGATGTTCGATTGATAGGTCTCGGCGGCGCCAGTGGCGATTAATAGATCGCAGAAGGCTTTGCAGCCTTGCTTAGGCAGGATTTCCGTCAGATTTAAACTGAGCGGCGCCGCCGTTGGCGCTTCCGCATCGGCGGATGTTATAACCTGCAAAATATCACCCAATTTGTAAACAAAAACTGTTGATTAACAGACCAAATTGTCATTTTCTCTTATAGTGAAAGCAAATAAATAAATAAATATTATTATAAATGAAATAAGATATTTGAATACACATTTTACAGTTATTATAACATTATATAGTTTATCATGTGATTAATTAGATCAACTAATTAAATAAGTTCCACATTTAAGAGTTAATTAGAGGACGAATAAGTTTTGCCCTAATTTTTAGATTGTACGCTAGGGAGCAAGTTTGAAATTACAGTACCTTGCTGATCTGCAAAATGGAGATATTGTAGGGCAATTCCATGACCGATTTGACATAAAACGAATTCAGATCGCCGCCGTTATCTTCAGAGCCGAATCCGACTTTTCCGCCTTTCAGATTTGTGATATTGACATATCCGGAGGTTCCAGTGGCGGAGCCGGAAGCCTGGAAGAGAGTAGAAGAGAGCGTGGTTCCTTTAGAGAGCTGGTGGAGTTTTTTGGCGCCGTAGTAATCGACAAGAACGTGAAGCGAGAGCACATTCTTGATTGTGCCGACGGTGAAGTGCTTGGAGATGATGTCGGACATGGCGGAGTTGTCGAGTGCGAGGACGGTGATGGTGAGACGGCGGTTGATCTCGCCAGCGAGATGCGTGATTGAGAGGTAGTGATTGAAGGTGCTGAACTCGGGGTGTTTGGCTAGGATTTTGGTGATGTTGTGAGCATCAGCGGTAGAGGAGAAGAGGAGGAGGAAGAACAGAGGAAGAGCGAGAGCGGCGGCGGAGAGTGGGAGTGGACGCCGCATGACGGTGGTTGAGACGGTGGCGACGGAGAGGAAAATGGAGGTTTATTTTGTGAAGAAATGTGTAGTGAAGAGAGGGATTCGGGGAGGTTTTTAAGAATGGAGGAACGAAGATGAAAATGGAAGAAAATGGTGAGATTTGAGTGAGTTTTTGCTACAGAGTCTACCAACCAGAAACTTTAGCATGGGAGACAGCTCAGGGGAACTGGAGTGGACCCCACCTCGGTGGGCCCACGTGATTGGTTGAATGTGGTTCAAAATTATCATTTTTATTATTATTTTTTTAAATTTATAAACTCCTAATTTTGGGTTAAAATTTATTTAATTTATTAGTTATATTATTTATTATTTATTAGATATCTTTAAATGGTAACGAATGTCTTATAGTATGTTCGGATTAATTTTATTTCTATTTTTTATTTTTATTAGATAAGTGACGTATAAGTTGATTAATCTATCAAAATAATAGCAAATAAATTCATAATAATAATATCATTATGACGAGTACAATAATACAAAGCTTTTTAAATATAGTCATAAAAATATGGTATTTTTTGAGAAAATCTTGATGTATTTTCTCAAGTAAGTGACTTTATTTTTATTAAAAAAAATCAACGTCAGCAGAGTGATTCTTAAGCGAACATTTTCCGCTCTAAATGAACTCAAAACGTTTAAAAAATTAATAAATTATGAATAATCTTTAATTACATCAAAAAAGCATTTGAATATTCAATAAATTAAAAAGTAAAATATTTAACAATGAATTCCAATTATTTTATAAGGGTTAGATAATAGATAGAAGTAAAGGTAAGATACTTGACTTTCATCGCTCTATATTTTGTAACCTTTTGTAACTTGCAAGTAATATATATATATATATATATATATATATAGTTTACGATATGATAATATATTAAATTTTATTAATTAATTATACTTAAAATATTCAAATATTTTGATATTGTTAATAAAGTTTAAATATGCCTGATTTTCGTTTTATATAAGATAATTTTTATTTTTAGAAAAAATTGATTAAATGTTTGACTACTAAAATAAATAAATAAATAAATAAACACAGAAAATTTTCGAAATTAAAAGAAAATAATTTATTACTAATTTTATGCTAAACCGACACAGAGTTGAGAGATAAAATTATAATTTTATTTATTTAAAAATAATAAATTAAAATCGAAATAGACAAAAGAAAAGTACCTCAGATGATGTCCCACCAACCACTTTGAAAAGAAAGAAATGGTTCAATAATTTGGTTTATTTTATTAATAATTAAAAAGAAAATAAAAGTTGATTAACCATTTTAGTAATTAGTCCAAGTAAACCAAAATAAATAATAAAAATATTCAAAAAATTATTTAATTATTTTAAATTAGGTTTAGAGTTTAAAAATTAAATAGATGTATATACTAGAATTTTAAAGAAAAAATAATGATAAAATACTCTAAATTATAATTTGTTGTAATCATTTATAAAAAATAAAAAAAAATGTTATAGAATTTCTATGATTTAATTCACATATTGATATATTTTTATTTAATTAGAAAATAGCAATAAAAAATAGGGTGGTTTAGAAATCATCGAATCCATTATATGAAATACAATAAAAAAAACAATTAATGATGAAAAAGAAAGAATAAATAAAATAAAATTGGTGAGGTGGAGGAGGGCCCACAAGTGTCGGTAGACAAAGGCCAGTCTGGCATGAGGATGCCTCGTGGGACAACTACATTTGTCTATTTAATTAATCAGCCTTCTTCAATATTTAATTATTTTATGCATTTATTACCAAAATGTCCGTTGTTTTTGCTCCTTTCAATCAATGTAAGGGTAAATATGTCTTTTGAATAACTTTCTGAAATTAATGATAAAAGTTGAAAACTGAAAATTAAAAAGGTAAATTACAATTTTAGTTTTTACATTTTAAAATTTATTTAATAATTTTAAAAACTTTTTAAATTTTGGGATTTTATTAATTTTTTTTATGAATTTAGGATGGAATGTTTAAGGGTATATTATAAATTTTTAAAGTTGTTTAAAACATGTCTTAAGTATTAATATTTAAATAATTTTTTTGAATGAGTCTATTTTTTAATCTTACAAATATAAATTTTGTTCGTACATCTAATCTAAACAATTATATTATCTCGTTTTTTAGACCAAAACAGTATATTTTTTTTAAATGCGGTAAATATTTTCGAACTCAGGACAAATTTAAAATTTTAACCTTTTTGTCGAAGATATAATATTAAAATTTAGCTTATAAATAAGAAAAAAAAAAAAAAAAAAAACTCCAAAATTGTCTCTATATCTCATGGGCCTATCAGCTAATTTGGGCTGGTATAAAACGTAAAAATTAAAATTTAAACTTATTTATTTTTTAAAATTGAACCATTCCGAATTTTGAGGACCAACCAATGAATTCATCATATGATATGGGCAGCAGCAATAAGTTTTGGGCTTTTGAGTAAGAGGAAGAGGAGTTTACTGTAGTTCTCTTCGAAAATTATAAATCCAATAAATTGCACGGCCATGATCAAGTGTGGCTGGAATTGCATATGACCATCGAAAGAAGAGTTGGAAGCTTCGAAAATTACAAGCGAAGTGGACGGTTCAAACAAGGTAGTGTTTCATACTGTACCTTTTTGTCATACCCACCTTTTTTTTCCTCCCTCAGATTGAATGGGAATGGGAGTGGGAATGGAAATGGAACTGAATAAGCCGTGGCAGTTCTACAACCATACAAATTTAGTTGCCTTTTTCTTCTTTTTCTTCCGAACCACTTGCAAGGTGTTTGACAAAATGCCTCAATGGGGGTAAGTTAAAAAAATTTCCTTTAATGGGTCCACTTTACAACTTGGTAATCAATTATGAATTGATTCTTCGTAGGAAAGTGGTTTGATTCTTTTGAATTAAGACGACAGCAA